TACCTTTTTCCCCAGGTCCATTAGTCAAAATTTGATTGATTGCTGAATAAAAACATATTAATATTTGTGTTTTTATAGGCTTATTTAATTCTATGTTGAATAACCAGGACCACCCTTATTCACAAAGTAATGGGTTTTTTTCTTTAAAAATATAATCTCGATATAAATACAACAATTAGGTTTTATGATATTTGACTGAATCTCCCATTCCAGTTGTCATTGGACGTAATGTATTGTACATTGTATTTACATTGAACATTATTGTTACTAGTTACTTGGAAGTCTTTCATAAGAATGCAATCATGCCTCCAACTGAATCTCCCTTGGTGCAAAGTAAGACATGAAAATAAAAATAAAAATGATCGGAAATCAAAACCCACCATCAACTATGTCTGACGAGGTAGCTCCATTTTCGCATCCAAACACACGTACACTTCGTATATTAACTTTATTGGCGACTCCATAGATTTCTGCAGCAACCGTGCCGGCAACGTGTGTGCCGTGGCCAAGACAATCTTCTGACTACAAGGAACAAAATAAAATTAAATGTTTTAATAGCATTCAACATTGAACTATTGCCCCAGTGTTGAGCCTTGAACAATGAAGCACTGATTTTATATGTTGAGCGTTCTCAGCGCATTAAGCTTACTGGTGCCCGAGTTAAATTAGCCATGGAGGAAACTATAATTCCTTCATGAATTCACCAAGAATTAACCAAGGACCTTATCTGTACAAATAAGAGTCATTGAATTAACTTCTGCCTTCATTTTCATAGGCCTAATATAAAATACATTGATTAATTTGAAATACATTGATTTGAATTTAAGTAATTTTAGGCTTCTGCATAACTGACACAAATATTGGAATTTTTAGTGAAGGCCTATCACTATCATAAAGTGTAGAAATTAAATGCTGGTTGAGGCCACTACGATCTCTATATTTAACAGGATTTTAATCCAATCTGTTTTGATAGAGTAGCACCTTAATCAACCCACATTATACTAAATTATAGGCTGGCTTTCTTATTTCTTATACACAGCCATAATGGTAGGAATAACAACCAACCTAAGACCTGACCAGAGTAATACTGTCAAGTTATTGTTATTTATCATAACCGTTATTGTTATTGGCGTTACAGTTATTGATATCGATATATTATCATTTTATTATCATTAAATCGTTATAATTATCATTACCATTGATATTACCATCATAATTACCATTATTATTATCATCATTATCATTATCATTATCATTCACCGTAAACAGTAAAAAGACAGGAAGCACTTTTCAAGACTAACAAATATTTTATTCTAAGCAAGTACAGAGTATGATGTTATGGTCACTTAGAATATTACGTCATAATAATTCATAATTATTTATTCATAATTTTATTTACCTAATAATGGGTTGAAGCATATGAAGGGCGGTATTTGAGGGTTTATTGAAATATTAAAAAAACAAAAGGTGGGATTAATAAGTGCTGGATTTATAGTCACAAGAATCTTCTTGACCATTAAAATAATGAGGGTATTGAATTTGAAAACAAAAGGCTGATTATTAAGTCAGGTTAGGGGATTATCGATGACAGTTTGGCGACTGTAAATTTAGTGAATAGTTTGAATTGCCCGGGTGAAGATTTCTATTGGCTCATGTAAAAAATTGTTTCTATTGGCTCATGTAAAGAACGATTTCTATTTGTTGAGATGTATCATTAAATTGAAAATGGCGACTCAATGGTTTTAACAGGTTTGAATAATCCGCTTCTGACGCTATGTTTTACGAATACCTATTTATTTTTATACCTATTTTATTTTAACGAAACATGACAAACCTAACACTTCGCGATACTCATCGCCACTTAACTAATCCCACCTTTTGTTTTTAAGTATTTCAATAAACCCTCAAATACCCCCTTTCATATGTTTCAACACATTATGAGGTAAATAAAATTATGAATAAATAATTATGAACTATGATGATGTAATATTTTATTGTGAACTTATCATCATACTCTCTACTAAGCACGCTTTTCTTTACGCAGTGTGAACTTCATAAACTGGCTGTGATGTGATTCACTGATTGCATGAAAGCTTGCGTTTAATACAATATTCGTTAGTCTTAAAATTTCTGTATGCCATTTGACTGTAAAGTTCAGACTAACATGGCTACCACATTAGTTCATGACATTATCATAATTAAATCCATCTTACATCATATTCGCCTGTTGTAGCGTCGTACCAGTTCACTGCTCTACCACCAAATTCCTCATGATGAGTATTGACGCCAGTATCAATGACGTATACAAACACACCTTCCCCATTACCTTAACAAAAATCATAAAAGAATTTTAAAAGAATATGCCTAATACTAATCACATCGTGATATCATAAAGAAACACAAATGACTTAAATGCAAATTATTGATTCTGTGTAATTCCATAACCTGACAACCTAAGTTAAAAAAAAAACCGCACAACAATAGGCACATAAACTTTTCTATCTTCCACAAACAAGTAGACTTGGATCCAAGTGAAAAATTACTAGGACAATTTACTGAAAAGTTAAACCTATTGTTCCTATAGCATTGGGTGTGAATGCAATAGTATTTCTTCTTCCATGGATAGCCCTTCCTAGTTACCAGAAAATAATCATACGACAAGTGGGTGGAAACAAACGTAGCGATGTGAAGATTATTTGTATGAGTTGAAGATTGAAAACATTGTGGAGGCGTGCAATGGGACAAAACAAATGGAACAAAACATGCATGGACGAATGGAACTAAATATCCAATGTCATGTGAAACTCATCAGTACTATCTTACCGAAGTAAACGAATACAGTAAATTTCAATTATTCTTCTCACTCATAAATTCTTATATGGACACGCTCCATATTATGTTTCTTCATCCACCTTACAACAATTATCTTTACGCTGCACAAGACAGTCAAACTCTTTAGGGTTATCTGTTTCCAGAATACTACATGTTCTTTTGCCGCTCCATTATGGAACTCTCTTCCGTCTAAACTTCGATTGATTTCTAATACTGAAATTCTTATTTATATCTTAAAGCGCCAGTGACAAAATAATATTTGTCTAACAGGCGCTATGCAAACTCTCCAATTTATTTATTATTTATACGAAATCCACCAATTGACGAAGATTTATCTAGGTGTGTTATAATTATAGGCTATCCACCTACTTACCCAATGGTAAATATGAGTTATCAAGCGGAAGGTTTTGCTGATCAATGCGATCTAAGCCCCAAGTGGATTCAGACGTCTTGAACATGACTTCTTTTTCAACGTACTTCACACCGTTCATTTGACGAATCTAAAAAAAAAAAAAAAAAAAAAACACGAGAGAGGAATTTAAATTTATGTGTATATGAATTATTCTAAAATGACAAATGAATTAGGTGTTTTTAACGAAACTAATAGATTAAAAAGTATTTTATTTCAAACATTTAAATTATTTCGCCTCTCTGGTACAGTACTCAACCTTTTGCGGACTGAGATCCATTTTCCAGTGGCTCAGAATGCGATCCGGACTAGGATAGGGTAGGATGAGGAGTGTTTGTTGGTGAGTCACACACGGATAAGTGATTGGAAACAGCTAATACGATACAAATTTGGAAATACTTTTATTATTAGGGCAATTCAGTAAATTAGTAAACCAAATGGTAAAAAATTCAAATACATCAAATGTGTATATGTAATACATCATTATGAAGCTAATGTAGTTATATTTTTGTGAAATAAAAAAAAAAAATTAAGAATTCACTTACCACATGGAAAATAATTGGAATTCAATACAATTAATTAATATTTTGAAATACTAAAGAAAATGTAGTTATAATTTTAATTTCCAATTTTTTTCCCTTGCAAAATATCAGAATCTGATTCACTTTTCTTTAAAATAATGAATTAGTATGTATTGTGTAATTTGGTGAAATTTTTTGACTTTTTGCAATTAATGCCATATTTTTAATTAAATATTTAAAAATAATGAAAATATGGATGTACGTCCGTCACAAGAAAATGACATTTGTTTATTTCCTTTTCTAACCAAGAAATTACCAAAACTCTGTTATAAAGCATACTAGGTATACCAAGTGTATACAGCAAATTGGAAGCCTACCATTAATTACACTAATTAGCAAAACCATGTGACAGACGGTATATTTTTTCTGTACGTCCGTCACTGTACGTCCGTCACGCTGTGTAAAATGTGTTATAACCTATGAAATATGGTGAAAATTTGAAAACTGTCAATGTGTCATATGTCTGTAGTTACAGTAGGCTACATGTTGTGCACAAAACATAATACAACATGGACAATTCTGGGTACATATGAGCCCCATACTTGAGTTTCTGGTCGAGATCAATTTAGGCTTACATAATTTTCCTCCCTGAAGCACATTTTGTCTTATTGTTATCAAACATATTTTCAGTACCATGGGCTTACATTACAAACAAAAAACAATTTTGAACTAAAATTTTAAGCAAATATATAAAAACAAACCAGGCAGGCAATACACAAATTACATAATAATGTTATCTTGACTAACACAGCTACTCTATCTACTTCATCATAACAATGTCCTGTAATTACAATTACAGCTAACATATGATTATATTATTTTCTTATATTCAAATTACAGTATATTATTATAAATGTAAGATAAGACACCTTATTTAGCATCTTGATTAACTACAATTACTATGATTTTTCTTGTATTGCAAAAATGTTGTTAATCATAATCTCTAATTATCTTATCTGTTAATCATTATCTCTAAATAATCTCCAATTCCAGAACCTTTAAAATCTAAACTTGCCCACTGCAGAATTCTTTATATACAATGAAGAAGTTGACGCCAAAAGCTAGGACTTGGCTTAATAGATCTAGTACAGTACAGTATGCACATATTCTTTCACTAGTTTAACTGTCTGCATTAATTAATAATAACAAAGTGCATTTTGGGAACCAAATAATCATTTTTCCTGGTTACAAATTTAGATCCAACTCTTTATAATCTATTTACATGAATGTTCTGAACAAATTGACACCACAATTAACTCCCCACCACCAGTGGTTACGGAAATATGAGAACCGTGAATATGACCCGGAGATGAGTCAAAGGTCAGAAATGGCATGTCCGGTCATTTTTTAACAAAATATTCTATTATGGCAAATAGAAATATAAATCTTTTGAACAACTTGGCACCAAACTTAACTCTCTACCACATGTGGTTGCGAAGATATAAGGGCCCTATAACTATGACCTTTGACCCTGAACTTTGACATTTTGCCACATTTAAAAAAACGTGTTTCCAAGCCAAAATGATTCTAAGGCCACCCTGAACCAATTTATGAAGTCAATATTCTCTTTACCTCAAATGCATACAAAACATGATCTGACTACTAGGGTATTGAGGTCAACTGACGATTATTTGACACAAAATTACCTAAATTATTTAATTCATTGTATTTTACATTCATTATTTAAAAAAAAAAGTTTAAAATCCAGTATATTTTGGTACTTTTATATCATATAAGCATACCAGTATATTAATTAATCAATAAAATAATTTAGATTGTAGATTTTTTTGTATTTTTAGATGTGTACGTCCGTCACAATTCAGACAAGTACGTCCGTCACGATAAAATTGTACGTCCGTCACAGTAATTTTATGGTGTTTTCATAGAGAAAATGAAAAAAATTAAATTCAATTTTTATTCTGCTAGAAAGTCCACACATTAGTGGAACAAAACAGGGAAATATTTTTTTTTAAATGTCACACACATCACAGAGTTTTTAAAAAAAGTACAGTGACGTAGGAAAAGTCACTTTCTCTGATTACATCCGTCACAGGGTCATTTTGACCCGTATCTCCGTAACGCATACGAGTTAAAAAATTAAAATTGTAGGCTTGATAGTACTAACCAATAGATGTAATGCAAACTTTAAAAAAAATAATTTGCAAGCTTCATTATGAAAATATAGATTCGCAAAATGTCTGAAATGTACGTCCGAATTTATGGAATTGCCCATTAGAAAACTTGGGGAAAAAGTAGTATTGCAAAAGTTTCACACAAAATTTGTTTGTCATATTTATGCAATAGAACCAAGTTTGCAGTAATTACAACAAACATAAAACAGAATTCATTATTTTATGAAGTAAATGTGCATTAAAAATTTGTGGGAACAACGAAGCACTTATGATTTTAATGTATATGTAATACAGGGGTTTATTTATGAATTTGAGTAGCAGGAGAAATTTGAAAGTAACAGGAGAGTAAATTAAAATAGGTCGGGGTATAGGGGGGAACTGCCTAGGCCCCCCCCCCCCCCCATCGGGGTCCAGGGGCAGAGCCCTGGTCGGGGGTCAAGGGGAAGGGGAAGCGCCATTGCCTCCAAGGTTTTAGAGCCCATTTGATGGAATTTCTCTACATCATTTTTTTTTAAGTTTTCAGAATCAACTACTGAGCTGTAAAAAAGTTGATATTATTACATATTCTTCATA